AAAAAAAAAAAAAAAAATGACAATGACAATGTCAATGTTAGTGACAATATCAATGTCAATGTCAATATCAATGTCAATGTCAATGTCAATGAAAAAAACTTCTAATGCCAACTTTTTGCAAAAACTCTTCCTGTGCCACTGAAAATACCTGTTAAATTGAGATATCATTCAATATTTGCATGTTTTCATTTGTTTGCTAATCAATTTCGCTATTATAATATTATTTACTATTGCAGCATTTTTGCTATAATTTAAAAAATTTTTAAATAATTTTAACAAAAAACGTTTTATCGTTAATTAATAAATTATAGTTTTTCAATTTAATTTTTAAAATGTTAATTTTAAAATAATACATGTATTATGACAATTTCTCTCTATAAAAAAAATAAAATAAATAAAATAAATAATAAGTAGAAGTTAGAACCATCCAAAAAAACCTTACTGGGTATTAAATTTTATATGTATTTATATATCCATTCCTAGGAGATTTTGCAGTGAAAATTAACTATTGATTATACTATAATAAACAGATTTGAAAATTTGAGTAATTCAGCATTTTCCAAATTAGAAAAACTTTTAATTTATTCATAATTTTAATATTATTTTACAATTGTAATAGCAGGAGATATAATTTGGCCTATCGGTCATATATGTAATACGTATTACCAATTTAAATATAGGATTTCCAATTTTAATATTGCAACATGTGATCACGTATTACGGTTATTAACAAAGAATTTTTTTATTTTTTCAGCTGATTATTTTTTTGTCTTTTCATTTACAAAAACCTAATAAAATAGAAATAAAATTTTATTTTTTTTCCTTAAATATAAACACAAATACATTTTTAAATTAAATAACTCAGAATTTAAATATAAACAAATATTATAGTTTGTTACACATATTTCAAATTATGGTTTGAGCATTTTGGCCAAAGTAAATCTTGCTCTTTAATTGAAAGTAGTTCAGCAAGTTGAAGCTGTTAAGATATTAATCTACATGAAAGCACAGTTAATATTTTTGGAGTTATTTATATTTTTACATGATAGTACTAAGTTACAAATTTTTTTTACCTTCAAAGCGTATTTTGGGCAGTTTAGTCAAAGTAAATCGACTTCTTATATTAATTGAAAGTTTTTTGGCGGGTCAAAATCTGCTTGGATATTAATTTTCATGAAGGTACAGTTAATACTTGAAGGGTTATTCAC